GTCGCGTCATTCATGCATCATTCGAACCATCCTGCATATATATGGAACCATACGTACTCAAACATTTGATTAGTAACACACAAAAACCTTAAAACGTACGCCAGTTATAAAATTTTCATAGTATCTCTCTCTAACTCTTGAACAAACTCTTACGCATCCAAAAACACACGAATCATACGCATACATGAATCATAACATCAAATTTCAATCATCACGCCTCTCACTATTGTCTACCATTTAAAGTCCGACCTGGGCGAAGCTCCATTTATATCAGGTGGTGAAATGGGCAGCGAGGGCCTAATTAACAGTGGACTAGTGTCCGCCGGGACATTTCGCGGGAAAGTTGGTCTTGAAGACTTCGACCTTTTGCGTGTGATCGGCCGTGGAAGCTACGCCAAAGTCTTCCAAGTGGAGCATCGCCCCACGAAGCGTGTGTATGCGATGAAAGTGATTAAAAAGGAGATAATCAGCGAGGATGAGGTATGTGGATATAAGCTAACTTTCTTTTTAACCTCTTTGTTTGAGATTTATTCACATAGCAGTCTTGGGAGACATCCCCATTACGAATTTTTTATATTCAGATGATGACTTGTTTGCGAAAATTCAATTGACCATTATGTTTTTATAGTTACCATTTTGTTAGATCTTCTTGAACCCTATCCGCATAACGGAAATCGAGAGGGCGCTGACAAATATTGTCATATATATAACTTGGAAAGGATACCTTTACTCTCCTTCATCTATTAAAATATGTATCAAAGATAACAAATATTTTTTGATGCAATCAATCTGCAATTAAGATCGATGTGCTTCTGCACCTAACTCTTCATTTAGTTAAAAATTTGAAAATGCTTGTTTTTAGTCATTGTCTCAAGGACTAGGTCTCCACTTATATTTCCGGTATGAAGAACCGAGTATGATTTTTTTAATTTAAGTCAAATCGCTATCATAGGGTAGCATTACGCGTTGGTTTTGAGCTTATATAGCTTAATTTCTCTAATTTTTACTTACTATTTCGTTTGTCTCGTAGTCATAGGTCAA